CTCCTCCTCCTCCTCCTCTCCACCCCCCCCCACCGTTTGATTTTGGGGATGTTAATTGTTTTACACTGAATGGCCAGTGTTTCTGTTTCAGACCGTGACCAAGGGGATAAGAAAGACATGGACAGCAACGCTGGGCGCTTTGTGCGATATCAGTTCACCCCAGCCTTCCTTCGCCTCCGACAAGTTGGAGCCACGTAGGTTCATGGGGGCGGATTTGGGCTGAGCCCGGTGGTGTTGGGGGGGTGGCGGTGATTGGGGTGGGGGGCGGTGGTGGTGGCTGTGGTAGTTCTACCTGACCCGCAGACCCTGGGTAGTTGTGTAGTGGAGATTGGAGTCGCTGACTGCTGCTAAAGCTCTGCCTGCCAATACACACTCTCACCTTGAAAACCTGAGCGCAGGATTTGTGGAGAGGCTTCATAATTCACCTGTGATGCAATCAAGAGCCCCACACTGGCTGGTGGCATGTTAACCGACTCGGTCAGCCTTTCCAGACTCAGCCATGGTTGTACCTGGAGCCTCTTGTTTCCCTTCCCTACGTGACGCAGCTCCTGGAGATATCTGCAGGAGTTCCTCAGGATAGTGTCCTAGTCCCAAACCATCTTCAGCTGCTTCGTCAATGACCTCTCCATCATAAGGTCAGAAATGGGGATGTTTTCTGACTATTACACAATATTTATGGAAAGATATGATTTAGTTGGAGGCACTTCAGAGAAAGTCAAAGGGTGATGGTTAAATTCTCCCTTGGTGAAGATGGTCATTCCCTGACACTTATGTGGTGTGACTGTTACTTGGCACTTTGAGTCCAAGCCTGGATATTGTCCAGATCTTGTTGCCTTTGAAGATGGACTGCTTCAGTATCTGAGGAGTCTCGAATGGTGCTGAACATTGTGCAATCATTGACGAACATCCCCATTTCTGACTTTATGGTGGAGGGAAGGTCATTGATGAAGCAGCTGAAGATGGTTGGGCCTAGGACACTACCCTGAGGAACTCCTGCAGGGATGTCCTGGAGCTGAGATGAGTGACCTCCAACAACCACAATCATCTTCCTATGTGTCAGGTATGACTCCAAGCAGCAGAGAGTTTTCCCCCTTATTCCAGTTGATTCCAGTTTTCCCAGGCCTCCTGGATGCCACATTGCCCAACAAATGCAGCCTCCATGCCACTCAAGCCCTGCTGCCTGGAGTTAAGCTCCTTTGTCCAGTTCTAGATTCCCTAAAGTAGGGAAATACCTTGTGATCATCCAACCTGTTGTTACCTCAATGTTTTACATTTCAATAAGATAACTCGCCATTCTCTTAAGCTCCAATGAGTATAGGCCTAAGTGACACAGCTTTTCTCCTAAGACAACCTTTTTATCCCAAGAATTAGTCTCCTATACCCTCTTTAAACTGCCTCCAGTACAAGGGCATCCTTTAGTTTCTTGTAATCTTGTTTCTTATTCACTCATGGAATATGGGTGCTGCTGGCTGGCCAGCGTTTATTGCCTGTCCCTCGCTACCCTTAAACTGAACGGCTTGCTGGGCCATCTCAGAGGGTAGGTGAGAGTCCACCACATTGCTGTGGGTCTGGAGTCACATGTAGGCCAGTCCAGGTGAGGATTGGAAATTTCCTCCTGAAGACCATCAACCAGATGGGTTTTCCCAACAATCGACAATGGTTCACGGTCCTCAGTAATTAATTAAGTAATTAATTCTAGATTTTTAAAGTCGAATTCAAATTCTACCATCTGCTGTGGTGGGATTTGAAACCAGAACATTACCTCGGTCTCTGGATTAATAGTCTAGCAAAAATATCACTTAGGCCATCGCCTCCCCTGTTGTCCGACAGCGCGGCGCTCCCTCGACACTGACCCTCCAACAGTGCGGCGCTCCCTCGATGCTGACCCTCCAACAGCGTGGCGCTCCCTCGACGCTGACCCTCTCTCATTGCTGCTGTGAGGTGTGAGCCTGGGTTGTGGGGCTCTAGTCACTGGGATGGGATTCAAATTGAAACAACCTTGAGACCAGTGTCTGCTGATCACTGAGCCAGCATCGGCACTGTGTGCCTGGTGAGCCATGCCATGGTGCAGGTATTGATCATAGCTGCTTTCTGTCTGCAGGGTGGAGTTCACGGTGGGCGATAAACCCATTAACAGCTTCCGAATGATCGAGAGACACTACTTCAGGGACCAGCTGCTGAAGAGCTTTGACTTTGAGTTTGGGTTCTGCATCCCCAGCAGCAAGAACACGTGTGAGCACATCTACGAGTTCCCACAGCTCTCTGAGGAGCTCAGTGAGTATGGGCAAGACCTGGGGCCAGGTCGACAGGAATAACATTAATGTAGGGATGGCAGGGTCCTCTGTGCTGTGGGGCAGTCAGTTCACACATGGGACTAATGCACACAAGGCCATCGGCCTGCTCACTGTACAATGCCCTCCGTACTGCTCACTGTACAATGCCCTCCGTACTGCTCACTGTAGAGAACAGGAAGAGACCATTGAGCCCTTTGTTAGTTTTGTACTGTGACTCTCTCTACCCTCCTTAGTTTGATAACCCTTCAGACCCTACTCCAACCAAAATCCATCCATCTCGATATGAAGTTTCAAATTGACTCATCACCCTCTTTAACATTTCACATCCCCTCTGTGTGATTTGTGCGTTTCCTGCCTCAGATTTGCAGTTTGTGCCCCGCATTCTGGGAGCAACCCCCACCCCCTCCAACCCACCCACCCACCACCACCCCCACCCCCACCCCTACCCCTCACTAAACTGGAGGAAGGAGATTCTGTCGATTAGATCTCCATTAGATCACAAGTGTTCAGTCCATGGATTTGAAACATGTTTTTGTAAATGATCCCCCAATTTGGTCCAGAATCAAAAATACAGAAAAATAGAAAAGATGTAACCTTTACATGAAGCACTGTCAGAATTATATCTTTTGGTGGGGATGTTGATCTGAGACTTCATTTACAGCGATGGATGGTGTGAAGGATACGTTCACCATTCCTATGGGCAGAAGACACCTGTTTTGTGATTGAAAAGTTTCTGATATAAGATTGGCATGCACATCCCCAGGGCTGGCCGTTCATATTGTCGGTGTGTGGGGAATTTCTGCAACTGTGTCATCTCTGACCTTCCATTGGCCACAATAGATACTTGCAAAATTGCTGAAGATGCTCGTTGAAAGACACTGAACTGAATTTCAGAGCTTGCCTCCATGTGGACTGGTTAACTATAGGTGTCTTCCCCTGAGACGGTCTGCACTACAGTTTGTAAGGCACTTTTTTAGGGTGTCCTTGTATGCTACCACCTTGATAAAGTTTCTACATCATAGAGTCATAGAGCTGTACAGCACAGAAAGGGACCCTTTGGTCCAACTCATCCGTTCTGAACTGAAATCCCAATATGACCTAGCCCCATTTGCCAGCATTTGGCCCATAACCCTCTTAAACCCTTCCTATTCATGTCCCCATCCAGATGTCTTTTAAATGTTGTAATTGCACCAGTCTTCACCACTTCCTCTGGCAGTTCATTCCATACACGTGCCACCCTCTGCATGAAAAAGTTGCCCCTTAGGTCCATTTGAAATCTTTCCCCTCTCACCTTCAACCTATGCCCCTCTGGTTTTGGGCACTTCCACCCTGGGGAAAAGACCTTGACTTTCTTTTATTCATTCACACAATGTAGACGTCTCTGGCTAGGCCAGCATTTACTGTCCAACCCTAATTGCCCAGAGGGCAGTTAGGAGTCAACTGTATTGCTGTGGGTCTGGAGTCACACGTAGGCCAGACCAGGTGAGGATGGCAGTTTCCTTCCCTAAAGGGCATTCATGAACGAGATGGGTTTTTCCGACATTCGGCAATGGATTCATTGTCATCATTAGACTCTTAGTGCCAGATTTTTTTATTGAATTCAAATTCCACCATATATTGTGGCGGGATTCAAACCCAGGCCCCCTAGATTATTACCTTGATATCAACATTAGCAGTCTAGCGTTAATACCATGAGGCCATTGCCTCCCCAGGCTATTCACTCTATCCATGCCCCTCATGATTTTATAAACTTCTATAAGGTCACCGCTGAACCTCCAATGTTTGAGGGAAAACAGCCCCAGCCTATTCAGCCCCTCCCTTTACCTCAAACCTTCCATTAACAGACCTCACTAAAGTATCTGGTCAGCATTTGTGGGATCTTCCTCTACACGGTTTAGCTGCTGCATTTCTCCTATTACAGCAGTGTGTCACTGGCTGAGTAATGAACTGTGTACATAACTGAGGAATTATTTCCAGTAGGAGTTTCAATAACGTCAGGTCACAGGTTAAGTGAAGGTTGTACTCAGCAGAGCACATATGTCCACCAAATTATTAAATACAGTTACACAGCTCTTTCCTAGCCTGCTGCCAATCTGTTTCTTAACTTATGAGTCAATCTACAGCCAACAACCTGCTCTGAAAGATCTGCTCACATTTTGACCGTGTTGACAAATGCTTCCACAGCAATTTACAACATTATTAAAATGAAAAATTTCTCAAGTGTTAATGGATCCTTTAAAACTTCCGTTATCCCAATCTGCGTTTCGTTCTTGGGGAGAACCCCTGTGTTTGTTTTTGTGATATTGTTTACAGGCTAGCAGACTGGCAAGGGGACAAAACCATTCCTGTCAATGCCAGAGGTAATGACTGTGAACCTCCAGGGCTGACCTGAAGTAGATAGTTGTTGTGATCTGGGTCACACTGCTTGAAAAGGGCAGTGCCAGTAGGTTCAACTCGTGCGGGCTTTGAGAAGGGTGTGAGAACAGAGCCTAAAGGTTTCTATATAAATGCAAGTTGATTTATTTTCTTTCCTCTTTCTCTCTGTAACCCCACCCCACCCCCAGTTCAGGAGATGGTAACTAGACCCTACCAGACTCAGTCAGACAGTTTCTACTTTGTGGATAACAAGCTGGTGATGCACAACAAGGCCGACTATGCCTATGGAAACGGACCTTGAGAAGGTGGCCAGCTCCGTGCTGCTTCCGACTCTGTAGCATTGACCTCGGGGAGCCCGAGACTGCAGAACGCCAAGAGCATCAGGGAATGTCAGATGGGGAGCCTCTGGTTCAGCTCCTCTCACTCCTAACCCCGTTAACCCATGGCTACTCACCACAATCACTGACACCAATCAGAATAACCCCTCAGTGTCAACCTTTCATCCTGATCCTTCAATAAATTCACTGTGCTTGAGGTTGAGGAGCTGGGGTTCCACAGAGAGGTGGCAGCTTGGGGAGGGGAGCGCCTCCCCATGGCTGCTTAGCAAACTGTCCTGGAGACCCTGAGCTCAAAGTGGGACATTACTGCCTGAGGCCAGTTTCCACTCAACATTCATCTCGAGTTTCTCCATTTAGACAATCAGAGTGTCTCAGCCTGGGCTTTCCATAAGGATTGGTGTTAATTTCCCAGTGATGTGGTGGGAGTGAGCCTGCAGGGTTCCCTGTTTGCTGTTCTCTGTGTTTCTGTGTTTATCAGCAACTGGACTGGGCTGAGCCTTTAGTATCTCCCCACTGCCCCCAGCGTGACCCAGTTTCTAGTGCTTGACCTTACACACTTGAATTTAAATATTTATTTTTTAAGTAGAACTGGATGAGGAGAAAAGTCAAATTGTTTTAATTTCCTGATCCTTTGTGCTGATTGTGTTTTTTTTGTCAGTCTGTGAGAATTTGTTGAGATTCTGTAAAGTTATATCGAGTTTCTTGCTCTATATTGTGAAGGTGTGTTGAGTGCAATGTCATCTGAAAGATAGCTCAACATGTATAAAAAGAGCTTTGAAAAAAAGAGGAAAGCAGTGTTATTTCTGTCTTCACCTGTACCTCCGGGCTGGGTAGGGGTTTGAAATGGGAGATTTCTCTACCTCCCCCCACCCCAGTCTGAACATAAGAAACAGGAGTAGGCCATTCGGCCCATTGAAACTGTTCTGCCATTCAATTAGATCATGGCTGATTTTATCATGGACTCACTCCACGTACCCACTCACTCACCATAACCCTTAATTCCTTTACTGTTCAAAAATCTATCTTTGTCTAAAAATATTCAGTGAGGAAGCCTCCATTGCTTCACTGGGCAGGGAATTCCACAGATGCACAACCCTTTGGGTCTGGTCATGTGAGGGTCTCATTTAATAATCTTCAGGATTCCAGCTGCTGCAGCGGCATCCTAACACGACACCCCTCTTCCACACACTCCCACCCCCCCACACACATGCGCGTGCGCACACATACATACATATACACGCACACACACTCTCCCACACATATCTCCACACACATTCCCACACACCCACGTGCAAACACACACACATACACAGTCTGTCTCTCTCACACTCACTGTCTCTCTCTCGCATGCACACACACGCACACGCACACACACACACACACACACACACACTTACACTCTCTCCCACACATATCCCCACACACCCATTCCCACACACCCATATGCAAACACACACACACCCATACATACACAGTCTCTCTCTCTCTGTCACACACACACACATACATACACATACAATCGCCCCAGAGGAAAGACAGTATTTGCCACATTGGCAGCTGGGGTTACTGTGTTAGATGTTTGGCAACAGCCAAACCCCCTGTAGCTAATTTTCACTGAGACTGAGAAAGTGGATTCAGCAGCCCACTCCCCTCCCAATCTCTGATGCCACCACCCATGGATCTGACTAGATTCTTTTGCTGTCTGGAATGTGTACACTACACACACACACCCTGTGGAAAATCCTTATGGAATATGAGTTAAATTAGGCGAGAAACTCAGCAAGTCTGGTAGCATCTATGAAATGAGAAACAATCTACTGTAAACCCTGTTTACTGCTGGAGATAAAGACTGAAAGGAGAAATGTTTCAATTGACCTCAGAGTGCAGGTTGAGAATGTGCTGTTTCTTTCTCACTGGGACCTATGGAAGGGGGTTATCCCATGCCCGGAGAGGTAGAAAGTTTTGGAGATTTTAGTAAGCTTGAGTAAGAGAGCGAACCCATTCCCCTGCTCCCAGTGCCTCTCTCCAGGCTGTCAGGACTGTTTATTTGAGCTACCCCAGGGCCTCAAAAACAGGCCATTTGCCTTTTCACCAATAACCATTGTCTGCAACTTCTGGGAATTGATAAAACACTGGAATATATTTCCTTTTGTGGCCAAGTAATGGACTGACTGTTGGGAGACATACTCTATTGCTCCTGTGTGTCATCTATTCAATTATTCTGCTCTAACAATAATCCTTCATCTAAATGTCTTGTGACACTCAGGCAGTTTATATAACCTGCCCTTCGGTTCTGCAGCTTTTAATGCTCACTGTCCTATCAGCTAGAAATTCTGATAATGAGTCACTGTGATCCATCTACAAAGTTCACTGCTGGTCTTTGCAGTGGGAACAGTGAAATCTGGATCAAAGGCTGATGTGATGATTGGAGCTTTTATAGATTTGTACACTCAGAAAATAACCCATTGAAATGTACACAGAGTGCATTTATTTAGGTCAACAGTGAACAGAGTTATTTATTCTCACTTTTCCTGTTTCTGTCCTGAGTTTTGCTTAGTACTTCAATCAACCTCTTGAGGTTGATGTGACTGCTCACATTTTAAAACAGTGCTGCTAAAAGTTCCTGTTGTACCTTAACATCACCAGACACAAGTGTGACAGAAAGCTGCCATACAGATTCATTCCCATCACAACATCCAGCCATCTCCATCCCTTCCCTATCCTTTCCTTCTCAGGAATTCAACGCAGCGACTCGATTCTCATTCTCTTCACATTTAAGGACTGATCTGTCGGAACAGCCCTTGTTGCTTCAGGTGAACTTAAAAGATTCACCTTTGGAGGGAACCAGAATATCCTGCTATTGGAGGAAAGACCCCAGGGATGTTCTCCTAAGTGTTCTCTTCAACATTTATTACTTACACGTTTGTAAACATGCACCTGAAGTTCCCTCTTCCACATGAATGTGATTTCCAAATGCAGCAAACTGTGTGTCACTAATCCTGTCCCCACAGCCCAAGTCCCAGCGACAGAAAGAGGAAGCGTTATGTGCAAGAAGCAATAAATATTTGCAATTCGGAACAGAGCAGAAAGGTTAACGTTGCAATCAAACTCAAACTCTGATGAAAGCTTCTAGCTGAGGACTTGGCCTGTGTTTCAGATCCTGAATCACTGGTGCATCTCCAGCATTTTCTGTTTTTAATCCTGACGTCCAGCCGGGCAGAAATAGAACTCCCGATGCTGCCCTGGAAAAGGAAAGTGGGGAGCAGCCCTTTAAGATAGGGGTGAAGCTGATGGAGGGGAAACAGGACTGTGCTGGGCTTTGCACTATAAGATGTATTAATGCATTTATGGGGGGGATGGTTTCAGTTACTTGGAAATTTATGGAAAAGTTAAAGTGAGGGAGGGCTCGGCAGAGATTATTAAAGTTTCCAGAACAAGTAATAGGGCAGAGAGTATGGAAAGGGTCAGGAATCTAACCAGGCACAGCAGACAAGGGGACAACTATGAGAAGGATGCCAGTCAATGCAGCACCGAGGGTGTTATACTTAAATGCACACTGTATATGAAACAAAGTAAATGTGCTTGTTGCTTGGATTGAAGTTGGCAGGTACGATGTTGTGAGTATCACAGAGACGTGGCTGCAATGGGATCAGGGCTGGGAACTAAATATCCAAGGATACACGTCCTGTTGAAAGGACAGGCAGATGGGCAGAGAGGGTGGGGTTACATTGTTAGTAAGAAATGAAACTATATCAATGGCAAGGAGTTGGAGGGGTTGAACCTGTGAGCGTCGAGTTGAAGAGCCGCAAAGGAAAAAGACCATGATGAGAATTGTGTACAGACCTCCGGGCAGTAGACAGGATGTGGGGAAGAAAATAAATCAGGAGATTGAATAGGCATGTAAGAAAGGCACTATTACAATAATCACAGGGGACTTCAATACGCAGGTGGACTGGGAAAATCAGGTTGGTAGCAGATCTCAAGAACAGAAATGTGTGGAATGTCTACAAGATTTTTTTGGAGCAGCTTGTGGTAGAGCCCACTAAGGAACAGGTAATTCTGGATTTGGTAACGTGTAATGAGGCTGACTTGACTAGGGAGCTGAAGGTGAAGGAATCCCTAGGGGACAGTGACCATAACATTACAGAATTCACCCTGCTGTTTGTGAGAGAGAGAAGCTGGAATCAGATGTAATGGTATTACAATTGAGGAAAGGTAACTATAAAGACATGAGGGAGGAGCTGGCCAGAGTTGATTGGAAGGGGAGTCAAGCAGGGAAAGACAGTGGAGTAGCAATGGCAGGAGGTTCTGGGGTAATTTAGGAGGTACAGCCTAAATTCATCCGAAGGAAGAAGAAACATACTAAGGGGAGGCAACCCATTATGGTCTAAAGTAGAATTAGAAGTGGGCCATTCAGCTCATCAAGTCTGCTGCACCATTTAATGTGATCATGGCTAATTTGATAATCATTAACTCCAATTTCCTGCCTTTCCCCCATAACCCTTGATTCCCTTACTGATTAAAAATCTCTCTCTCTCAGCATTGAATAATTTAATGACACAGCTTCAATAGCCCTCTGTGATAAAGAATTCCACAGATTCACTACCCTCTGAGAGAAGAAATTCCTCTTCTGTCCAACTGGGCAATTTCCTTACTAGAGATGTTGCCCTCTGGTCCTAGACTCTCTCACAAGAGAAACAACCTTTCCACATCTACCTTGTTAAGTCCAATAAGAATTCTTTTGTCTTTGATGATTTTAGTACAGACAGCTGGAATCTGCCAGGGAAATTGTGTCCGCATATAACTTTAGCTTTATGTCACAAAGAAAAGCAGCCAAACAGAAAAACTGATCGTTTATGGCAGTGATGGCAGTAAATAGCCATCTTCAATTCCTAACTTCCAATGTATGACCTTGTTACAAAGAAATTGAAACTAAAAGAAAGAGCAGCTTTGAATGTGTCTGAAAGCAGAGGCTTTAACCAACCAGCATGGTGCAGAGAGAAATCTCACATTTTGTACATTGTGCTTCCTGTTGGAGTGCCTTCACCAACTACAGGAGACTTAAGGAATGTGTTTCCACATGAACATGTGATGGTAACACTGTGAGTCTAGCTGCATGTGTGATTTACAGTGTGCACACTTCCCATTTCCAGTTTATGATGTTTCTAAAATCATTATGTCCATAATCTGATGTGAACGTATCAGCTGGGAAAAGCACCTGCTGCTGAGAGACAGTGCAGAACCACTCTGATACTAAGCTGTCGTTACATATGACATATTTACACAGTGCCATTACAAATGTGGACATAAGAGTTTAGCTTTGAATTAGGAAAATGAAGAGAATATGTGACTTTAAAATGGGAACAACTCAATGATTAGAGAAGCAAACATGAAAAGTCCGGAGAGAATTGAGCATGTCTGGCAGCCTCTGTGCAGAGACAAAACAGATGCTGCTAGACCTGAGTTACTCCAGCACATTCTATTTCTGTTTGTTTCAGATCTCCAGCACCTGAAGTTTTTGCTTTATTTGAAGTCTCAGCATGCTCATGATTCTTCGTAATAGCAATTTGACTAATATGCATCAGTAAAATATTTCATTTAAACAGACACAGGCTTGTAACAGTAAAAGCCTCTCTGTTCTAAATGGTTGAATCAGGGGCTCCTTCGAAAGGTTTAAAAATAAATGGTTTCTTAATTTTTTTTCATATAATCCATACAGTGTGGAAACAGGCCCTTTGGCCCAAAAAGTCCACACCGACCTTCAGAGCTTCCCACTCAGACCCTTCCC